TGGGTGGTTGTACCGGTGTTTTTTTTTTTTTACGTGCCGATCAGACGAGGTGGGCCTATGACCCACTTCGTTCGATCCGCCCACTCGAATGTATAATATATAATGTATGAAAGTATAATGGCACGAATTTTACCCTTTCAGACCTGGCGTCCATTCCAATGGTCATTGCATTTACTTCGTGTCTATGGCAATTTCTTAGGATTCTCGTGACTTTACGCTCTATATTACGCTACAATGAGCACAATTATGCAGGGCTCAGTTCCATCAGAGGCCTTCTTTCACACATTAGTTTTGTAATCTTAAGTTATTTAATTAAATGTATAATATATGGTATGATATGGTAAATTTATACAAAATATGAGCACTACACATGAAGCATGAAAATTTCAATTACAATCAAGAGAGATCTCAAAAATGCAAAAAAGGATATTATTCCCGATAGCGACCTTAATTCAGGTCTGAAAGGGTTAATATGATGTGCAATAGCAATTTTGTTGGTTTCACCAGGACGGAGAACGAGCGACGCAAAGAAAGGCTAAGGAAAGGCCGAGCCCAACCTGGTCTCCACCGTCAAGCAATTTAATTTCATGTCATTTATACGATTTTAAAAGATTAATTTGTCTTGAAGCGAGGCTGCAGTGGTTTGCCGATAAGAAAATTCTCGACAAATCGTTCAGTCCAGGTCCAGTCGTGGTTCCAACCGACTGCGACTGAAATGCCGCTTTGAAATCAACCGTATCATATAGTAGATAATTATATAGATAATGATAATGGCAGGTAATTAGGCACAGAACAAAAAAAACGGATGATTCTAATCGGTTCCGAGTGGAATTGACTGTGTCGATCCGATAGTTCGCAATTTTTTTTAATCCTGGGGTATTGTCAGTTTCTGGATTTAGGTTGACGTCATTTCACTTGGAACGATGCGTTGGCCTCGGTATCCTTTCTCGATTAATGAAGGGCAGCGAGCGCCTTAATTACGGATAAGAGTACTTAGTACCTGCGGCTAAATCGGAGCATGAAGAATAAATAGTTCATAATGGGCGTGCCCGTTGTGGGGAAATAGCCTAATTATCATCCATGAAGGATGGCGAATTTTAATTCATTATCTTGTCGAAATTAATGGCGAACTAACAAGCACCGCAAGCGAAAAGCGTAAAGGAATTGAAAGATCGCCAATCGAGAATGGAAAACACGCGTTACAGGCTCGGGAGGCTGGATGCATCCATTCGTTCTTCGTCCCTCGACCGGGAGGTCGCTCGCTGGGCGGACGGGGCCCAGGCGCCACAGGGTCCACACTCCTTGCCCGGGCTCGATACCAGCGCTCCGAAGGGAGGAACGGAGAAAGTGGGGCATGCGATGCGAGTCGGTTTTCGAGTTCTTTAGGTGGTTTCCCACTTACAGGAGTGGGTCGCTAATGGAATCCTTGACATGCTTTTCGCTGATGGCATCATTTGCCACCGGTGGAGTTTGCGACCACAAGTATGTGTCCTCACTCCATGCCACCACATAACGAGAGATGAGTTTTAGTTTTACGAGGGGTAATCACGAAGTTGAATCCATCTTCTTTTTTTTTCCTCAAGGTCCTACCTTAAAAGAGTGCTAATTGGTGTGCCAGATGTGGTGCCTATATATAAAATACTGTATATATTCTATGGTGACATTTTTGTGCAAAAACAAGAAAGGAGATTTCATTTTTTCAGACAGCAGGCGAAATGACAGTACAAAGGGCTCCCATCTGGAATTGGTCTAGGGAAGATTGCAATGGTGCCGACCTGGGATCACTCTCTTCTTTCTTTTTGGAAGTATAGCAGGTACGTTCGGAGGACGGCATAGACATGCTTCCAGGATCTATCACCAGCACGCTGTCAGAAGCAATCGAAAAATAAGTGAATGTCACACATTGCATGAAAAGAGAACTGCACATCGTGGGCATCATCGGGTCCCATCACGCAACCGACTGCTGCTGCGCCTTCGTCCATGGTTGTTGTCCACAGACTCAGTTCATAGAAAGATATATGAAACTAGCCGTGATGAAGTAAGGATCAGTTCTACCGGAGATTATGTCAGAAATGGCCTGAGGAAAAGACTTTGACCCAGCTGGGGTTTTGCATTTCCATTCCAGGAAGGAAAACTCAACCAACAAAGAGTAAACTCAGGGAGAGCAAAAGAAATTACAAAAGGTATTCAAAAAGTTCTTGAAACTATGATTTTACTTACAGCATACGTGGTAGTTCCAAAATGTTAATACTGCAACCCTTCAAAGTATCCACCCTGTGATTGCACACACCGACCCAAGCGGTGAAGCCGCTTCTGGAAGGTGTCAGCATCTGCTTTGAGTATCCTCTGCAGTTCTGAAGGAACAGCTTTGAACAGATGTTGGATGTGACTGAAGGTTGGTCCATCCAACTATTCCACGAGATAAGGAATCAGCCACAAGTCCCAAGGGTCTAGTTCTGAGCTATGGGAGCCATAGCACACATCTAGTCCCTTGGGACTTCTGGCTGTTTCCTTATCTTGTTGAACGACCGGCTGGACAAAGCCTTGTGTCGCATCCAAGATCTGTCCAAGGGTGTTCATTCAGAGCTGCAGAGGACACCCAAAGCAGATGCTGATTCCTTCCAGAAGTGGCCTCACCTCTTGGGTCGGTGCGTGCAATCAGAAGGTGGATACGTTAAAGAACCGGTGAAGGTGAAGAAGGGGCAACAGCAGCACAGCCGAATAGAGACAACACCAACCCTTTCTTTCAAACCAGACAAAAACGAAACAGACCTTTCCATCAATTATCACAGTCTTGAGATAGAGATGCCCCTCTCGAGTGAGTTCCAGCATGGGAACGTTAAAGGCTGCGGCCGGACGGGGCAGCGAGGTGTCCAGTCTCCCCGAGTGACCGTGGGTGATACAAGAGATACAAGTTTCATGGAAATTCTCGTTCAGAGAAAAAGTAGAAACAAGAATGTCGAAGCAAAAACGACAAGAAAAGCCACAAGAGAGAAGATACTCCATCGACTGGAATCACAGAAAACGGATACATTGAACCGAGCTGATGAAACAGTCAGGGCTTCCTTACGGTCGGTGGTACGGGTGAAAGACCCACTGTGGCCGGGAGGGAACATCTGGAAGCGTCACAGCCTCTGGAACGCGGATCGCGCACAG